GTCTCGATTTTGATCTAGACTTTCCTCACTTGTCTTTTCTTCGTTTGTTGCCCCTTCCTCTAGCAAACAGTGCATGAGCTTGTTTTTTGTTACCACTAGTGGCCATGTCACTAGTTGCAATTTTCCGAAGATCATTCGTCATAAGCGTCGTTCTAGTCTTATCCATCTTCAAATTGTCACCCACAAGTATCAGTGTTTGAACCAGATTTTCATAGGACTTTGGTAAAGAAAGAAGTAGTAGAAGTACTTGATCCCCATCTTCTACTGTCACATCAATGTCCTTCAAATCCGATATGATCCTATTGAACTTGTTGATATATTCCCAAATTGACGAGCCTTCCTTCGTCTTGCAAGTATACAATTTGGATTTTAAGTAGATTCGATTTGTTAGACTCTTTGTCATGAATGTACTCTCTAACTTTGACCACACGCCCGCAGTCGCTTCCTCTCCATCTACCAAGAAAGCAACGTCCCTCTCAAGGCATAGGATAATCAACGTACGTGCTTCGAGATCTAATTCTTCTCAATCCTCATCTGACATATCTTTGGGCTTCTTTTCTTTTCCTGCTAACACATTGTGCAATTTCTGTGAAATCAACGAATTTTTCATCTCCATCCTCCAATAAGAAAAATCATTCTTCCCATTGAATTTCTCGATCTCATACTTTCCAACTTTAACTGTTTTACTTGTAGACGTTATTTTCCATTTGTATTAATAAATCCGCTTCTCTTAGAAAATTTTAACAAATACCTTGTGTGTACCATACAATAACCAAAGCACCAACTCAGATTAAAAATTCTACCACCACCAATCTGAATAAATGGCTCTGATACCAATTGTTGGGAGTGAGGGACGCCCACTTGACCGCTGCGGAAGCTAAATCAATTTCGAGAGAAAGCAACCGTAGCTTAAGTTTACACCAAACTCAAACCAACCAATACAAGCAATAACGAATACAAAGATAAAACGATAAGTAAATCAGACGAGACAACAAATTTACATGGTTCGACAAACTTGCCTACATCCACGGGAGCCACACAAATAATTTCTTATTTAACCACAAGAAATTACAAAACTTGCTAAGAGAAGATCTTAAACTTGAGGTCTCTCAATTGAAAATCGATTACTGTAGAATTGCTATAGCACCAAGTGTGATTTATTCAACTGAATAAATCACCACTCAGTCTCTTCTCAAATCACCACAAGTCTTCTTCTTAAATCGCCGCCGCTAGAAGTCCTCTGAGAAATCGTGATAAACTCGGCTCCATAAAAATCTCGTGAAGATGGTTTCCCTTTTATAGGGAAACCCTAGGGCAGATATGTGATCCAACTGTCTTCCATCGACGCAGACGAGCTGCGTTCACAGGCGAGCTCCGTCCACTCTCGAACAGGCGAGGTCTCGAGCAAGCGAGGTCCACGAATGCTTAAGCCGAGCTCTCCACGCCCTTTCAACAAGCGAGCTCCTCGATCTCCTCTAGACCCGTGGGCTCTACAGGCGAGCTTCCACGCTTCGACGCAGGTGATCTCTTGCCTCCTTGTAGGCGAGCTCGATCCCTCCACGCAGGCGACCCCCGCTCTCCCGCAGGCGAGTTCCGCGGCACATTTGCTATATCCACTCCCAAACAGTAATTTTGGGAGTTGGATTGCCAAAAATACCCTTTTGTTGCCCTTGTGTTATTAAATACCTTTGTGTTATTAAATGCAACGTAATTAATACTCGATTTTAGCACTAACCGGATTTGTTTCTTGGGATATGTTGTGTTATTAAATGCAACGTAATTAATACTCGATTTTAGCACTAACCGGATTTGTTTCTTGGGATATGTTTCTTAGTAAATGAGATCCATAACAATTTTCAACGTAATTAATACTCGATTTTAGCACTAACCGGATTTGTTTCTTGGGATATGTTTCTTAGTAAATGAGATCCATAACCATTTTTACGATTTGAAACATTGACTGCAACGTAATTTGAAACATTGGTTATGCATTTAAGTAAAAATAACAAACTAACACTATTATTTAATTTTTACGATTTGAAACATAATTTTTACAATGGATCTCATTGACTGCTACGTAATTTGAAACATTGGTTATGCATTTAAGTAAAAATAACGATTTTAGCCACTAACCGGATTGCGAATTTTTATGGTGTCCGGTTGGCTTCGAATTTCGATTTCGAATTTTTATAACAATTTTCATTTCCAATACAATTTACACAAATTACATAAAATCGTTTTTTTCAAAAATAAATTACACCACTCAGAATCAAAATTGATTTTGACCCCTTAGATTTTTACATATAAAAAGGCCAACAGTTTAAGTTTTTCAAATCACAATCACAACTCAAACACTCACAACTCAAACACTTACAATTACAATCACAAACAATATGAATTCTGGAGATTACAACTCCATAAATCTTGATGAAGTTGAATTCGTCATCGACGAAACACAAAGTGATCCATTCCAGGATCATAGTTCATATGTAGAGTTTGAAGACATTTCAACCGATTTCGGTAATCCGGAAGGAGGTTTTGCTAGTAGAGAGGACATGGATGCTCATGTAAGATATGTTGCTGGCTTGAGGAACGTTACTTTGGCAATTCGTGATTCGAAGGGAAAAGACGGCCGACGGCCCAAAGTTCGATATTTATGTAGCCAAGGTGGCGGATACAGACCAAAAAAGGTTACTGGAACTAGGTCCACTAAAACGACAAAAAATAATTGTCCATTTTGGTTGGACGGAATGGAGTACCCTGGAGGGCGCTGGTACTTTGAAGTCCGGGAGGGGAGACACAACCATCCGTTCCCGTCTCATGCTGTGGGATCTCGTTTAGGTAAAATATCCCCTATTCAACTTGAAGTTATTAGGGAGCAAGAGAATTTTAATTTAAGCCCGAGTAATATGTTGGCGTCCATGAAAAGGGCTGATCCGGAGAACAAATCGTGTCAGAAACAAGTTTACAATGCTGTCAGTAAGGTACGTGCCCAGAAAAGAGAAGGTCGGACCCCGATGAATAACTTCATCCATTTACTCAGGCAATTGAACTACATGTACGACGTTCGGACTGCTGATGAATCTTCCGAACTTGGAGATATTGTTTTCTGCCACCCGGCTTCTTTTGTGATGGTGAATGCATATCCGGAAGTCATGATGATTGATTGTACGTACAACACCAATGAGTATGACATGCCTCTACTAGAAGTGGTCGGTGCAACAAGTACGGACAAAACGTTCACTATCGCCTACGCATTCATGCGAAATGAGAGACAAGAAAACTACAGGTTTGTGTCTTAATGAATTTTAATTTTTGTCATATGTTTAAATTTAAAATTGTTAATTAACATTATTTAGTACAATTGTTTGTCAATGTTATGAATAATGTTAAATTGAATATTTAGGAGGAGTTAATATTGTTATGAACATTATTAGTATTGTTTAATTAGGAGTTATTATTTTTATGAACATTATTAGAATTGTTTAATTAGGAGGAGTTATTATTTTTATGAACATTATTAGAATTGTTTAATTAGGAGGAGTTATTATTTTTATGAACATTATTAGAATTGTTGAATTAGGAGGAGTTATTATTTTTATGAACATTATTAGAATTGTTTAATTAGGAGTTACTATTTTTATTATATTGTTATTTTTTATTGTTATATTGTTTAATTAGAACTTATTATAGTATTATTAGGAGTTGTTACTGTTATGAAAATTATTATATTGTTTAATTAGGACTTATTATAGTATTATTATTGTTATTAACATTGTTATTGTAGTATTGTCATTAATATTGTTATTATGTTAATTTGTTGTTATAAATTACAATTGACAATTATTTAGTACAGTTATTTTGTCCTACGTTTAAATTTAAAATTATTAATGTTATATTATTTTGCAGGTTTGTGTTACAGTTTATCCGTACTTTGTTCGTTAGCCAAGTGACACCTAATGTCATTGTAACAGACCGAGATTACGCCTTGATGCATGCTGTCGAGTATGTTTTCCCGGAATCCAGGCATCATTTGTGTCGCCGTCACATTGAGCAATGCGTGCTACAACGAGCACTGCAGCAACCTGGTTTTTTAAAAGAGGCGGCAGAAGGATTTAAATTTCGTTGGAATTGGGCGATAAGTGCACCGACCATAGATGACTTTAATGATAGATGGGGACGTCTGGCAGCACATTACTCGAATTGGGGAGCATTGCTGAACTACTGCATTGACACATGGATTAGTCCGCATTCCCAAAAAATCCTGTCAGCTTACATCGACCATTATTTTCACTTCGGAAGCTACACAACAAATAGGTAAGCCTTGTGAGATTTACGTGACTAAATAATCGTTACATGTAGTCAACATTAATAATTAATATTCAAGTTCAATTGGTAATGCAGGGTCGAAGGAGAACATCATCGCGTCAAACGACATTTAGATGGTGGTCGGTACCCATTCGATACCGTACTGGAGAAACTTCACAAGGTGATGGAAGGCCAAATCTGTGAGATTAAGAAAGTAGCGAGAGTTAACGCTACTAAATCCAACACAGACACCCTTGGAGATACGTTGTTTGTTAATCTGAACAGATCAATCACGTTTAAAGCATTCGGCCTCATAAGGAAAGAAATGCAAGTTTTACAAGAAATGGGTCAGGATCCAACAACGTGTGGTTGCTACCTAAGGAGAACTCATGGTCTACCGTGCGCACATGAGCTTCAGTACTACATCATAAATGGGTATAGCATTCCGTTGGATCAAATACATGATTATTGGAAAAAGTTAGATATTCAGTTTCCAATATTTCCTAATGATGCCGCGGATGGATCCCCGACTCCACCAAATCCAGTGAGGAGGGCGTTGTTCGAAGAAGTCCCTGATATTACTGCACCTCCTACTGCTAAAAAGAAAACCAAGGGTAAAAAGCTCTCTAGTCTCCATGTACCTTCGGTGTGGGAGAGGGTTGTGAAACAGTACGGATTTAAAAAGTCTCCAAACAAAAAGGTAATACTACATAACTTATGAATTTCTATATTTGAAAATTATGATTTATATTAGTTACTAATTTATTATTCTCAATTTAACATTGTCAACCTATGCATTTGTAAAGGGCCCTGGACGTGTTGCTTCTATCTCTGAATCACAGGGGAGTCCAATGAGCACATCCCAACGTACGGGGCCACCAGTATCACCATCTTCTCCAAATCCTCCGTGCTCAAGGCCTCCAATGTCAACCCCTTCTTCCAAAGGCACCACGTTCATCTTTAAGAATTCTGTATTTGAGAGAGAATTCCCGCCCTACATTAGAAAATACATAGATCAATGCACAGATGTAGCGGCAGACGGAAATTGTGGATTTAGAGCGGTGGCTCTAGCAATTTACGGAACAGAAGATGATTGGGTTAAAGTTAGACAAGACTTAGTAGCAGATCTACAGAATAGAAGCGCCTTGTACGCTCGAATCTTAGGTGGGAGGAGTGCGAGGAGTTCTAATGTGACTAATCTCATCCAATCGATTGCTCACTACCATGGACCAGCGGATGATGATTACTGGATGGCGGTACCGGATTGCGGTCACGTAATTGCAACAACATATAATGTTGTTTTCATGACATTCAGTGAACATGGAGGAAATACTTGTCTGCCAGCGATATTAGATGAAACACAAGGACCTCCAACCCGAAAGGTGGTGTGCGGACATCTTAGCAATGATCATTGGATTTTGGTAAGAAAATTACACTAGTCGACGATCATATAAACAAGTTGAATTTTAACTTTAATTTTTTATATAAGAATATAACTTCAATATTTGTACATTTTTTTCCAGTTGCATATGAAACCAGGGGATCATCCGGTACCACCCATAGCATTTTACTGGAACGACCATCACGACAAATCTGCAGATGGTTTAGATGCACAATTTGCATTCTCGATCGGTCACTTTAACCGTCTCCACAATGAAGATGGAGAACGTCGAGCAGCAACAAGAAGAAGAAAGAACAATTAATTAGGATCGAAAAAACAATTGATGTATTTCGTTGAGTAGATTAATACTTTGATTTTCTAATAAATTTTATTATTATCCTTCATTATAGTCTAACACTTCAAACATTTCAAACACTTAAACAAATTTTATTAACGATTTTAAAAATTCAAATTATATTAAAATTAAACCAACATTTATATATGTTCTAAAAAAAATTAATTTTTTTAATAACACTTCAATGATTTTTTATGACCCACGGATTATAATGGATTAATTTTTTTTATAACACTTCAATGATTTTTTTAATAACACTTAAAAAAAATTTATGACCCACGGATTATAAACCGACACGGATTATAGTCTAACATGGATTTTAAATACACAATTAAAATGGAATTAGTTAATAAAACAAAATAAAAAAATTTTATAACCCACCGGACACGGTGTCCGGTGTCCGATTATGCTCAGCAGCGAAAAGAGGACTGTGGACTCAGAATTAATGAACCGAATTAATGAACCTTAATGAGAAGCATTTAATGGTCGATGTAAGCTTAATTAACAATAAAGGGCAATTTCGTCCATCCACCACCCAAAGTTACTGTTTGGGAGTGGATATAGTTGGACCCGTTCCGCGGTGACTCTGAAACAAACCAAATAAATCAAATGGGGGAAACCCTCTGAAATGTACATAAATGATTTTCATGATGGTTTTGTGTTTTTTTTCCGGAAATGTACCAAACAGCCTCTAAATCTTTGTCTCTCTCTCCGCCTAAAAATCCAAGGTATGAATAGAGCATTCCTAACAATAACTGTGCGCGTCGTACACGTAACAACTACTCCCAGGTAGATGATGAGAAACTCAAAAAATCTAAATGAGATGAAATAGTAATCCTCAAACAAATAAATAAATAGATAAGCTATTAACATGTTGAATAGCTAATGAATCTTAAAAGCTTAAGTGGATGCATAAATTATTTCCAAAATGTAGTACTCGCCCACAATGGATTGATCGTCAAAGAAAGAGTCCCACAGAGTTCTAGGTGCTTCTTAAACAGGCTATGTTTGGTGTGAGTCGGCTACAAATGGTGGAATGGTTGTGGGGGAGTCAGCTTGGAAAGTTCTAGTACAAGCATCTAATCTCGAGTCAAGTGGGCTCACCCAACAATGTCATTGGAATTAACAAATGAGCCAGGAGGAGGAGGAGGGCCCCTCCGAGGGCAAAGACTGCCAACACGAATTTATTATCCTGCAAGTCACAGACTGTCAACATGAATTTATCGTTCTATATATGGGTACCTTCTGCATTTGTTGGCAAGAAATCAGTCCTATTCGAGTTGACGGGCCTATTGGAATGTAATTTTAACTTTAAAGCTATAACAACTAGATATTAGTTTTTTCTTATCATATTTAATTTGAGACTATGCTCATATATTAATAATCTTAACATCTCCTTTTTGAAAAGAGTATTAACTAGAGGACGTATGCGATACATGGCTAGGAACATCAAGCTACAACATTAGACTTTGTCTTTTTTCTAACATTACTTTAGGTCATAATCTTAGTTCTGATTCCATTTCTTGGAGACACTAATTTATTCTCTTTAAATAGAGGCTAGGAACCATATTTAGCCTAAAAATTGTAGTTACTAAATATTGATTCATACTCTTATTTTAAACTTATCATTCTTCTTTATTCTATTCAGTATAGATATGACTCATGTATTAATAATCTCAACATGTATCTCATATTGCAAGTGAATTATTTACCTTCTCTTGCATTTTTGGAAGTGCTAAAATTGTGTCTGAGCTATACGAGTTGTTGGAGAGAGCAAGTCCTATTATATATATTTCTAAAGCAACATTTGAGGGACTCTAATATTTTGCAGTTGAAAATTTATGACCCATGAAGGGCCCAATATTACTCTCATTCTCAGTAATTAATTGATCTAACATACTTGTTGACGAAACGAAAGAAGCAACAGGTCGAGGTGGGACTCACGCGGGTTTGGTGCTGGCAACAGCCTGGATGGTGTCTTTTTTTTTTTAAGGAAACCGTGGGGATCTGTGACATGACCTTCAAGAGCCAAGATAGAGAACCAACAACCCCCCGCTTTATTTTACCCACTTAACCCCGGTACATATAAATGTGGACACATGCCAGCCATTGCCTCGTGTCCCGTTTTAGGTGGGGTTGTTCTTAAGGGCCTCTATGCAATAATGGCCTAATGCTTTATTACTAAAAAAAAATTACCCAATGATTCAAAATATGACACCAATAGGAGATAAGTGAGGTGTTCCACTCCTATTCTATTATGAGCTGGTCATCATTAATCTAATATTTTATTACTAAGAAAAATTTCCCAAGAACCCAAAATATAGGACCAACACGGGGGACAGGTGAGGTGTCCCTCTCCTATTACATAATAAGTTGACCATCATTAATGATAACCAGTTCATTATTTAATAGGAGAGGGACACCTCACTGTCCCCCCTGTTGGTCCCATATTTTGGGTCCCTGTAGCAAAGTTTTATTACTAAATTCGTATGTGCTCACCTTTTGTAGCTTTAGCCTTGCTATGCGGTAAGACTGTAAGAGGCTTGAAAGGTAGCCTTCAACCACCGCTATATCCTCCATAATTTAATACAGTGGGAGAGATTTTAATATGATAGCAGATTAATGTAGATTTGACTATAATTAAATCCTAGAAATCATATATTTTGTTGTAAATATAAATACAATGAATGTGGACATTACTAGAAGAAGTCTCTTCACCTACTTGTGACTTTTAGTATTCTCTTCCACATCTATATAATGTAATCCATGGAAGACAAAATGTATAGAGGAGAAATGAAGATGAATAAAATGAGATGATCACTTTCTCCCTATCTCTTTTTCTTGTTTATTTACTTTTACATTTCATGTTCGATTCTTACTTTTGATATGTGATGTATGTAGATACAACAACGAGATTACAACACGTTATCAGCACGAAAGCTCTAGCTAGCCGGTCCGTAACCGTCCATTGGTGGTAAGAGCTATTTCGGTGTACACATCTTACGAGGTAACAATACATAATACATTCTACCTTTGTCTATTTACAAATGTATCCAAATTCAAGCTTGCAATAAATCAAGATACTAAATAGCCGAGGTGCCAATCCTCATAATTGCAATATCAGATAGAAAAGTTTCTCACAATTTGTCTTTGCTTGTAAGTAGTAGCGTGCACATGTTATTTGTTGTATCTTAACCTTTCTCTTGTAAAGGACATTGATTTATTCCCAACTCTATTTCTTATATCGTCTCAATGGGATGCATGGAATGAACTTGAAGTCATTAATGAAGGCTCCAAAGAAAACCTGCATATATTCAATTGACAAAACTGCCAAAGAAAAAGCACATAATGCTACAGAAGCATAGTTATATCCAAGTAGTAGTCAAACTTGGGCCTTAGATAGGCTAGTAAAGAATGAATCAAGCATAAGGCCCTACTCTGAATCTTTTATCACTGGTCTTTTCCATATGTCATGCATGTGAATAAAAAAAAAGACTTGATTGTGCATATATGGATGTATATTTTTTTTGTTGCTCATGTCATTGATGAGATGGGGTTTTAGTAGTAGTCATTCTCAAAAATACTGCACATAGATGGAGCTTTAGAAGTACAAATAAATGTGTCGTACGTTGTTTTCTTGTTTAAATGATAGCTAGTTATGCAAGTTGCAAATAAAGGGTTATGTAAAAGGGTGAGCATAGTTTTATCTCTGGACATGAGTGATTTGGGTCAAAAAGTCAAAGACTACCTTGAATATAATTGCATAACTTCTTGTAGTTTGTGTTATAAAGGTCCATAGGGAAACTTTTGTAATTGCGATTTCTTCACCTGTGATTCACCAGATTGCATTTAGTACATCCATAAGAATGTATTTTCTACTAGTCTTCTACCATTAAATGTGATGTTGAATTTTCAAAATGCTATCAATGCTTATAGACTAGTACTATATTGCATTAAATGTGATGTTGAATTTTTCAAATGCTATCAATGCAAGCAACAGTTAAAGGATGTCAAATCTTTTATAAGTTTGAGATAGAGTCACTCTTCTGGATATGCAAATTTTTCTATTTTCTCATGCACTAATCTTTCGTCCCCGTGATTAGTACACTGTGATATATAATAGTAACTATTACTTGTCTTTGGCCTTGAACGTTCATTTTTATTGACACCCTTGTGATTTTTGCATGATTATATCTCTTGATTCTTTAAGTATATTTGCCCAGAAGGCAAACACTTTAAATTTTCTCTCTATCAATTAATACATGAAAAAGTATTCACTTTTCTGGGCAATCCCTGAAGGATCGCTTTGATCTATAGAAACCAATAATCTTCCCTCAAACGTAACTGGCAGACTGAATTAGGACTTTTTGGATTTTAAATACATGACTAAATATGATTCAGCTCTGTACCAAATTATCTAGCAGCTGAAACTCTGTAAGCAGAGCATTACAGACAGTGATAAAATTGATCGAAAAATTCTTTTCCCTATTCCACGCAAATAATATTGTACTCCAGCAGCAGTACATGACCAAGAATTGCACTTAGCATTCTGAATTGATATCTACATTAGTAGTCGCAGAGAAGCACAATCAATTGATGATTAGAAATCACAATATCAGACTAGTTGGCTTACGAGTTGTGTTTGTATCACATGCTATAATTCAGAAAATTACTTATACGCGTGGACAAGGGGGAGACTATAAACATAGTAGGAGATCTTATCATGTAGCCATTTTTGGATTTTAAACCCTCGACTGAATACAATTCAACAAGTAACCTTGTACTCTTACAATAGTACAACTAAAAATTATATCAAGTATTATGAACTAATCTTTGCATTAGTAGTTGTTAAAAACACAACCAACTGTTGTGAGAAACCATAATGCAAGTTTAATTGGTTCAGTCGTAGTGCCTGAAGCACATGTCATAATTCAAACTAATATTCATAAGCTTGGACGAGGGGAAGGTAATGGATCTTATCGAACTATTTGGTTTTTCTATATTTGGATTATATGCATTTGTCAGACAATTTTAATTTATCTTGATTTG